CAGCAATCATATGACAGGAAATGTGAATCTTCTTGTTGATGTGAGAAATAACATTGTAGGCAAAGTTCAAATGCCTACTGGAGACCTTGTAAATGTTGAAGGAATGGGTTCTTTGGCTATTGACACTAATAAGGGCAGAAAGTATGTCAAAGAAGCCATGTATCTTCCTGGTTTAAAGGAGAACTTGCTCAGTGTTGGTCAAATGGATGAACATGGATATTTCTTGTTATTTGGAGGAGGAATGTGCAATGTATTTGATGGCCCTTCCTTGGATTGTTTAGTCATTAAAGTGAAGAAGAAAGGAAACAGATGTTATCCTTTGTCTTTTCTACCTGAAAATCAAATTGCACTGAGAGCTAGTGTGAATCATTTTGCTTGGGTTTGGCACAGACGATTTGGACACCTACATTTTGGTGGTCTTAAGCAATTGAGAGATAAGAATATGGTACATGGTTTGCCACAGCTTGAAAGTCACAGTGGTGTATGTGAAGGTTGTCAGTATGGAAAGCAACACAGAGATGAATTCTCAAAGAATCGAGCACTGAGAGCAAATGTCCCACTTGAAGTTGTTCATGTTGATCTATGTGGTCCAATGAAGATTGAGTCAATGGCTGGAAATAAATACTTCATGCTGCTGATAGATGATTGTACCAGAATGGTGTGGGTATATTTTCTAAAGCAAAAGTTTGAATCATTCTGTTGTTTTAGAAAATTCAAGGCTATGACTGAACTACAATGTGGTTTTAAAGTAAAGTGTTTGCGAAGTGATCGAGGGGGAGAGTTCATGTCAACTGAATTTGTGCAATTCTGTGAAAATGAAGGAATACAAAGGCAGCTTACTCTATCTGACACTCCACAACATAATGGAGTTGTAGAAAGAAAAAACAGGACAGTGGTTGAAATGGCAAGGTCGATGCTACATGAGAAAGGAATGCCATACTATTTCTGGGCTGAAACAGTGCATACAGCTATGTATCTATTAAATAGATGTCCCACAAAAGTATTGGACAATATCACTCCCTTTGAAGCCTATTCTGGAAGAAAACCTGGTATTGCTCATCTGAGAATATTTGGTGCTTTATGCTATGCTCATGTTCCAAAAGAAGTTAGACACAAGCTTGAACCCAAAAGTTTCAAAGGCATATTTGTTGGTTATGCAACATGTGAAAAGAGCTATAGAGTGTTTGATCCAGTTACCAAGAAACTTATTTTGTCCAGGGACATTGTGTTTGATGAGGAAACAACCTGGGATTGGAAAAGAAGTTCTGGCCAAGCTGTGATGCCTCTCACTGAAGGAAAACTTGTATATGACAGCTTCAGTCCTGAAGATAATGAAAGTTTTTTTCTACCACAAACTACTCCTGCATCACAGAATCATGGAATGAATGTTAATGCTGAAAATTCAAACATTCAACTCACTTTGCAAGAAAGTCTCCTAGCAACACAAGTCAAGATGAAAGAAACACTCAAGCATATGATCACACTCCATTGAAATGGAGAAAACTAGATGAAGTATTGGCTCAATGCAATCTCTGCATCATAGATCCAGAGAAGTATGAAGAAGCAATGCAAGATGAATCCTAGTTAAAAGCAATGGAAGATGAATTAGCCATGATTGAGAAGAATAGCACCTAGAAGCTTGTGGATAGACCAACAGAAAAGCCGGTTATTGGAGTTAAATGGGCCTACAAAACCAAGTTAAATCTTGATGGTTCAGTTTTAAAAAAACAAAGCTAGGCTAGTTGCAAAGGGTTATGCTCAAAAGTTAGGGCTAGACTACAATGAAACTTATGCTCCAGTGGCTAGATTGGATACTATCAGGACACTTGTAGCTTTAGCAGCACATAAGAGTTGGAAATTGTATCAGCTTAATGTAAAATCAACATTTCTGAATGGTGTATTGGAAGAAGAAGTTTATGTAGATCAACCTGAAGGTTTTGTGGTCAAAGGAAATGAAGATAAAGTTTACAGGTTGTACAAAGCTTTTTATGGGTTAAAACAGGCACCAAGGGCCTGGTATGGAAAAATTGACACATATTTCTCTCAGTGTGGTTTTTGAGAAAAGTTTAAGTGAACCAACTCTGTACACCAAAACAAGGGGAGAGAACATCTTGATTGTTTCTATCTATTTGGATGACATAGTTTATACTGTTAGTGATAGACTGATGCTTGAAGAATTCAAGGAAGATATGAAATGACAAATTTGGGTCTTCTCCATCATTTCCTTGGAATGGGAATAATTCAGACCAACTCTAGCATTTTTATTCACCATAAGAAATATGCAAGTTCTTTGCTAAACAAGTTCAACTTAAATGAGTGCAAGTCTGTGATCACACCACTTGTGGCAACTGAGAAGTTAACCAAAGAAGATGGAAGTTGAGCAGTAAGTGAAGAATTATACAGAAGCATTGTTAGGAGTCTTCTATATCTTACAACTATTAGGCCGGACATTATGTATGCATCTAGTCTACTTGCTAGATTTATGCATTGTCCTACTAGCAAGCATTTTGGAACTGTCAAACGTGTGCTCAGATACATTAAAGGGACTCTAAACTATGGTTTGGAGTATACGAAAGGCAAGAAGGCAATGTTGATTGGCTATTGTGACAGTGATTGGGGTGGATCACTAGATGATAGCAAAAGTACATCTGGATATGCATTTTCTTTTGGAAGTGGAGTTTTTTCTTGGGCTTCAGTCAAGCAAAACTGTGGCATTATCTACTGCAGAAGCAGAGTACATAAGTGCATCCGATGCCACTGCACAAGCAATCTGGCTCAGATTTGTATTGGAAAATTTTGGAGAACTTCAAACTGAAGCAACTCCATTGCAATGTGACAACACCTCTGCAATTGCAATCACCAAGAATTCTGTGTTTCATCATAAGACTAAGCACATAGATAGAAGCTATCATTTCATTAAGGATGCACTGCAAGAAGGAATTATAAATTTGGTGTACTGTCCAACTAAAGAGCAGTTAGCAGATATTTTCACAAAACCTTTGGCTAAGGATCGGTTCAACTATCTTAGAAATATGCTCAGAGTGAAATCAGCTCAAGACTTAAAGGGGAGTGTTGAATTATAAGTCTATAGCTGATTAGTATTAGTGAAATAAGATGAGTTTATTTGTGTATTCACTTGAGCATATCTGCCAAGTGTGAAGTCAAAAGATGTAAGGCCATGAGTGTCATGTGTGATGATCCTAGTTATTAGGTAATGAATGGCTGAGATCAATTTTATGATGTGTTGATCCATCTTAGCTCTTGTTAACTATAATATTCCTCTTTTGCACGTTGTGTAAAAGTGGAGAGAGGCATTAATGAAATAAAATATCCCTCTGTGAATTTTAGCAAAGAGGAAGAGCAACCATCCTTCTCTCATCTTCTCTATGCATTCATCTGTTCCTTTTCTTTTTCTTCTAATCAGTATTATCAAAATGAACATAAACTACATTAATAAAACCCTCTTTGTCAATCAAAAGAGAGTAAAACGATAATTTTGTCTCCTACTACAAAACAAAATCATGGGCAGTAAAATAAATTCACACAAATTAAATTTTGCAGTTTTTTTAAACCCTCACCCACAGGTGATCCTAACGTCCTCTAATTTTGAAAAATAAAATACAAAAAAGAAAACTTCTCTCTCTAATCCACATTCTTTTTTTTTCCTTTCTCCTTCCCATTTTACAATAAAAATTAAAATTATTTTCACACACAAAGTGTGGGGCATATGCTAGTATTTATTAAAAAACTTTATTTTAATCTTTGGAAAAGATAATTTTAGAGTATAACCTTGTGTAAGATCAATATCTAATTTTCGTCCCTTAATACATTTAGTCACCTCATTTATTAATTATATTTTGATGTTTTATTTCTCTTTTTCTTTCTAAGTTTAATGTTTTTTCTTAACAAATGATATTATTTACTCTATCGGGAACAGGGTGGGCTTAGCTTCACAATAGGCTAACAATTATGTGGTTTGACTTCGTCTTTAGCGAAAATCGAACCTAAAACCTTTCACTTACCAGTGAAGAGGAAATATCACTACACGGTAGTACTTAAAAATTTAAGTTACAATAAGGGTTTATTTTAATTAATTGGGTAAACTAATAACAAAAAGCATCCCAAAAAATAACAAAAAGTCAAAGAGAACAACCATTTTACATCATCAAAATCTAAGGGGTAGGCAAATGAGTCATGGACCCGCAGGTCGGGTGGGTTCAAGCAGTTTGAGGCGGGTACAGGGCCGGTCTAAATATTTTGAAGAAGAAACATGAAGGTGGGTTCAAGCAGTTTGAGGTGGGTACAGGGCGGGTCTAAATATTTTGAAGAAGAAACATGACGGGGTGGGACAGGACGGGTGCAGGAATTGATGGGGCAGGGCGGGTCCAAAAATAGGAGAAATGTGCCTCTAGCATTGGATAATTAGATTGGATTTAATGATTAATCTCACATCCACTACACCGTTGGATTTATTTATTTTTTCCCTCACTTAGACACTCCTATCCCATTCACTCATGACTCAAGTCACTTGACAGCAGCCATCACCAATTCCGACTTGGACACTTGATGGCCCTCATCTCCATAGACGATGGTGGTGTTCAATAATGCGGTGAAGAGGTGGTCGCAATTGGAAGGTTTGGGAGGAGTAGAAAGTGATGGTGGTCCCAACTCGCAAGTCGTCAGAGAAAAACAAATTAAAAAACAATACCTAATCTACTAAGATATTGGATCACATGTCAGAAATTTGAATTTAAAAATGATCATTTCAACCAATTTCACTTACTTTTGATGTTTGGGTTAAAAACTGCCTTACTCACGCTTGTTCAACTCTTAAACTTTTCCTTACATTTTTTAATGTAGATTAGGAATATGCTAGTTTTCCTTCATCGTCTTCTTAATTTATCAATGTTCTAGTAATATTTTTAGTTACCAATAGATTCTAATTAGTTGGCCTTACCCAAGTCATCCTAAGGCCCAACCAAAGCAAAAACTTTAAAATAAAAAAAAAACTATAAAAATATGAGTCAAGTTCTCAAAAATGATCGAAGCCTGCAAGGTTCCCACTTTACAGTTGCAGAGGTGATAAAAACGTCGCCGCATCCGACGCTCCTGTGGTTCTCATTTCCCTCCGTTCTCCGTAGCTTTTTCCTCAGGTATTTTTCTTCAGTATTTATTGTCAGCTCCTTTCCTTACCATCTGTTTGGTTACCGAGTAAATTGAGAAAAATCAAAACAGAGGAAACGATTAGACAATTAAAGCCTTACCCTTTTGTATTGTGTGCCCCTGGAAAATAAATATATAATCTTTATGATTTATTTCTGTTTCACTAGAAATTAGAATTTTTAGTTGTTTATGGATAGATTGAAAGTTTGTTGCTTTTGCATCCAATTGGAAATTCTTGAATTGAAATATCTTAATGCTGTTAAATTTCACGCATTTTTCTTACCTTAGTTTCTAAGCGATCAAACAGAGCGTAATGTGTGTGTGTGTGTGTGTGTGTGTGTGTGTACATATATATTGCTCTTTTCCTCTGGTTACGCTTGTAAGTAAAAACAAAAATGATTAATTTTGTGTGTTATTGTTGCAATTTAACCATGTTTTGTTGAAATATTTAAGGTAAAAATGAGCTTGGTGTTGAAGCGTCGAGCAAAAGTTAAAGATAGGATCAATGCGCTACCAGATGCACTTCTATGTCACATACTTTCGTTCCTTCCTACAAAATATGCTGTGAGGACCACCATTTTGTCTAGAAGGTGGAAGAACTTATGGACTTCTGTTCCCAATCTCTACTTCAACGACAGAAAAGATTTTCCTTCTTTTCAGGCAGGTCCATATGGCTCTAACCTTTTTACCAGATTTGTTGATCGTGTACTTTACTTCCGCGACTCATCAGACATAAAAAAATTCCGTCTTTCAGTTACCTATACTGATGATTTGTCTCATGTTGATGGTTGGCTTTGCACTGCCATAAGGCGTAATGTCGTTGAACTTGATTTTGAGCTTTGTCAATCTCATTATAATCAATACCGGGAATTTGAGTTGCCTCAGAGCCTTTTCACGTGCAGAACACTAACGGTTTTGAAGTTGAGCTCAAACTGCATTACCTATGCTCCTCCTACATCGGGGTGTTTCCCAAGCCTCAAGTTCCTCTATGTCACAGTTCATTATCCTGATACCGACTCAATTGAAAAGCTTATTTCTTGCTGCTCTATCCTGGAAAACTTGAATATAGATGGAATTCTAAGATGTGACGTAGTTTCAAATATCCATATTTCTGTGCCTACACTGAAGACATTGAGTATAAATCTGTCCGTTGATCCTCAGTATCATGATTACAATCTTCTTATCAATGGCCCAAAGCTTGAAAACATTGATTTCAAGCAAGATCTTTCGTCAAATTATTCTCTGGAGCATTCAAAATCCCTAGTTAAAGCTAATATTGTTCTCAAAGAAGTTCCCTGCCGTGTAGTTGCACTACTGGAAGCAATATCAAATGTGAAATATCTGTCTCTTTCAGCTGAACGTTTGAAGGTAAGTTTACCCTAACTCTTGTTCCTTTACATTTCTTGTTTGGTAGATAATTTTATTGGATGAAGAAAGCGGTAGAGGAGGAAGGTACGAGGGGCAAGTCCTGCATATACTGCACCATTCCTCATCAATTCAAACTTGTATTTATTGATAATGTTGGGGTCCAGGAGTAACGAACGCTAGGTCATCCTTTGTTTGTATAAAATGTTAACTGTACAAGAACATCCTCTGCATACCCTCATTCTCCCGTTTACACATGTTTCCTTTTTATCCTTTGTTGTGAGCTTAAAGAAAGTGATGGAACAGTTCCTTCCTTTCGTCAATACGATTGATTTCAAATTGCTTGTTATGGATAAGAGAATCCTTAATTTCTGATTGAGTGCTTTAATACTTGTATCTTTCATGTAGGAATGGTATCTCCCTGTTTTTCCTAATTTGAGCCAACTGAAGGTGGTTCTTTATGATAGCTGTTATTGGGAAATGCTAGTAATGTTACTCCGTAAGACGCCCAATCTGGAGGATCTTATCTTAGAAGATGTAAGTAAGATTTGGCGGATGCATATTGTGCCGCATGGTATCAACATGCCCTCTTAAAGATTCTTAATCTCATTCATTTTTGTAAATCATTGTCAGAGAACCATATGTCAAAGAGATTATTCAAAGCTTCGGTGGAATCCACCAAAGTTTTTGCTTGTTTATCTGCGGTCGCACCTCAAGACTATCACCATAAGAGGATTCAAGGGACGAGAGATTGAGAGGGAAGTGTCAAAGTATTTGTTAGAGAACGCTAAGATTTTGAAGAAAATGAGGATATATACAAGTCTTGTGCATATTACAGAGAAAGAGCTATACAAGGAATTCTTAATGTTTCAAAGGGGTTCGGTGACTTGTCAAGTTGAATTCATCAAGATGTAGTTGTACAATAGTTTGAGCTTTGAAGTTCAATTTTTTGGAGTACAAGGATTTTTTTCGAACTCGTAGAAGTATCACATCATGTTTGTTGTTTGATGGTGGATTGAACCTATTTTGCAGTCTGTGTTCCATGTAATGATAGAATCTCTTTAAGCTTATTTAGCTTTGTTTAGTTGCATGCAAGTTTTTCTCGTTGTTTTAGTTGACACGTGCATGTATCTAGTTTTTAGTTTTTATTCGTGTTCTTTCACATCGCTCTCCACCCCTTTTTATCTCTCTATTGTCTCATATATATTTACTCTCTTTCTCTAAAAATAAAAGGCTTATTTTTAGTTACGCTCCTGTAACTTCATTTTGATCTTACTTTACCTATGAAGAATTTTTTGTGCTCCAACAGAGTTGTCAAATGAATCTTCAAACATAGAAAATGCAATGCCATACACACTACATTTAGAGAACGAGTTGTACAAGGAGGATTCTGATGTTCCAAAGGGCTTCAATGATTTGTCAAGTTGAATTTTCAAGATGCAACCTTTGGTTTTCCAGAGATTTGAATTTTGCAGTTCAGTTGCCTGAGTTCAGAAGAATTATGATTTCAAACATGTAAAACCATCCTGTTTGTTGTTAGAAGATATATCATAAATATACCTGCATTCAGCTTTTGTTATTAATGACCCGTTTGAGACTGCTTTAGAAGCATTTTTGTTCATATGCGTTTTTTGCTATAATAAATCTCTTTGCTTCTTAGATCTCGAGGAAATTCGATTATGGCTGCAGATGCATACATTATATATCTGAATCGAAAAATCTCCAAGGCTTTCAAATTAAAATTTACAGATGGGCAAAAATCTCTTTGGCCTAGTCGTACATGATTGAATCATAGGCTGTTTCCTGCCATATAGAGCTGTACACATGCTCATCTTCTATGCCAACACCATTACAATAAACATGAGAATAATCACCAACCCATTCACAATGATCAATCGGAAAATTATCCATCTGATCATACTCACAAGAATCCACATACCAATTCATGTCATTACTTGGTGAGCAAGCCACCTGATCCATTTCAAACCATCCCAACTGATCGCAATCATCTAATGACGGTGATCGTGAGCAATCCTGACCGTCCAAGCCTCCTACGATGTTCCACAAGTTACTATCTTCCAAATCTTTGATAGTGATGCATTCAGAGTCTGTATTACTCAAACCATCGCTGCCCAATATTGTTGGTTTGATTATTTCTGCCTCTAGGGATTGGATCAAACTGTTTAATCTCTCCTCGTCTCGATCTTCCTCCTGCAATTCTTCTAGCAACGACATGAGAATGGCACCATTTGTTTCTATGCCTTCGTGAACTTCAAAAGCATAAGCGTCGTTGTCATTCATGCTTGCATAGTTTCTGATCAGTGTGGTGGAAGAATCCATTTTGCAGAAGAAGTTTTTATTTTCTTGAAGGAGAGAAAACAATTGAAGAAAATAAAGAGTTTCAAGGAAAGCCAAGCTCAAGAAGTGAGATATTGGCCCTTAAATATTTGTGTATTTGGGTATATGATTCCCTTCAAGAGAGGTAGGACTTTATATAGGCATATGACCACGGGGGTGACCTTTTATAATGGACTGGCCAATCATGTGTGCATGAACAAATAGAAAAATGTCATCTTATCAAACCATATGTTAATGTCGATATCAACATTGACATATATACACACACACACATCAATGTTTGTCGGACTAGCGATATAAATTATTATTTATGTAAGTTTGTATTTGAATGTGGTTCAAATTGACGACAATTTGGTAATACTACGTGGTATGTATATAGTATATTAAAACCGACATGTTATGTAACCACTAATCAAATGAACTCAATTTTGTTTGAAATATCAGTTATATTGACAATCTATCAGCATATTACGTAACATGTATACAAGTGGACTACTTAATTTTAATTATAAAGAGAGAGAGAAAGGATTATGTAATGATGAAACATTCATGTTAACGAGAAATTTTTTTGTTATAATAGATACACAAGTGGTACACCACATGTTTTTATGTAAATTGTGAGAAATTTTATTTTGTAAGTTATTAACTTTTTAACTCATATATATCCCACAATTTATATAGTAACACATGATATACCACTTCGTGTGCCAATCACATTGAAAATCTCTCCATGTTAACAATGGACCACTTCACAGTTTCACCATTAAACAAATATCTCATTGTCAGAGTCTTAAGCGCATATCCCCAGCTTTGCTTGCAAACCAAGCGAAAATGCGATATCGTGCATGCATTGAATATGAGGCAAACAAGTACGGCAGAACATATCTATGGCTGATGGATCACCAAAACAATAACAATATAATGTAAATAATTAAGGGTGATCAGCTGGGCCTGTCCCAGATGCTTACTTGAAAAGATACATTCTATGACAATATTATTAAAACAATGTTGATTTCTTTGGATTCTTTTGCTTTGGTGATGTGAAGTTTGAGGCTCTCGTTTCAATTTTAAAAGCAAATAATTGATACCAACTAGGCAACTATGTGCATATGTAATTGATCGATGTTATTAAGTTTAATCAAGGATCGGTTAAGTGGTGTGTCCAATTGTATCTGATATTGACCACATAACATCTCTTATCTCTATCACATGTCGTGTAGGATTTTCTTTCGACAAACGTTTGAATAAAAGTGATTAACAAGTGGCTCCTACACGCATAATAATGGGTTGATATCCATTTTTAAGAATTTTTGGGTATTACTAGAACATGATCATGTGATGTTACTGTTTTACTCAAGTTATAACAAGCATATTTATTGTTTTATTAATACAAATAAGACATATCAATTATGTCGCATACCATATTATAAAATATAAAATAATATACTACGTGATAAGTGTTCTCGTATACCTAAAACTTTCTTTTTTTTCTTCCAAGTCTTGCTTACCGAAACATGTTTGGTGGTGTTTAAAGATTTAGATCCCGTATGTGTAGTACTTGTTAATGATTAAATGGATGGTGAATGAATAAGGATCCCACACACCATGTGATTATGTCCGTTAGTTATTGTGCAGAAAATTCTGGACCAACTTTTCTGATCCCCTATCGACTCTATACATCATCATCTTTGCTATGGTAATGTGTGATTAGTTGGAATTGGCGAGTGCAATTTTGCTAACCACTTAAATTATTTTAAAATTTAAAATTTGTGCAATAAATAGATTAAATCAAGGGAGACTTTGGATGCGGTCCCTAGTTATGAACAATCTTTGACTGAAACTTTGTTGGTTTTCAATTTTTGATCCAAGTCCCTAAAATTAATTGATAATTTATTTCTATGTACGTTACTATATTTTTTAAATTAAAAATTAAAATTTATAGTTGTTTATATTAATGAGATTTTAAATAAAAAACATAATTTGTGGGATTAAAAATATTAAAATATAAATATACTATTGTGTGTGTGTGTGTGTAAACATGGGTACATTCATAAAAAATAACCAAAAAATTATTGTATCAAAACATGGGTACATTCTTCAAAATGGGTACATTTAGCAAAAATAAAAATGGGTACAAATAAATAAAAAAATATGGGTACAATACAAATAAAACTTTAAAAAATATGGGCACAAAAAGAAATTAATATATGGGTACAAATTAAAATTGAAAGGAAAATTGGTACAAATTAAAAAAGGGTTGCAAATTAAAAATGGGTACAAACTAAAAATAAAAATATATGATAAAAAATTTAGCCATAAATATAAATATACTAATTGTAACATTTTTAATATTAAATGAATATATTTATAAATAAAAAATATTTTATTATTGAAATAATTAATGATATTATTAATACAAAGGACCTTGATCAAAAATTGAAAAGTAATAAGGTTTTAATCAATAGAGTAGTAAAAATAAGGATGAAAACCTAATTACTCCTTAAATCAAACATATTCAACTAATTAATATAGTGGTGAACATCACTCTTTAGAGTGGTGAGTAAAAATATTTTTGAAATCAGTTGTACGCAACATATGCCCCTGCCTTTCGTATAATTAAGAATACAAAATCAATGTGCCTATGCATGAATGAAACTACAAGATATTAAGCTAGATTCAAAGTTCGAACACCTTCAATATAACCAAAAAACGCTACAAATTATGAGGTTTTCTTTTTTCAATTAAAACTGTTCTAATCACATTGTATAAATTAAAGAAAATCTTTTGAGATGAGGTTTCACATGATGATGAGTATATAGTTCTCTTCTCTTCTTTTTTTTTTTTTTTCTTCCGCAAAGAGGAAGGTTAGTAATCATTAGAGTTCTGTTCAAAAAGTTTATATAAAAATTAGAAAAATGTAGTCTCTTTATAATGAATTATTTGTTGTTAACAACAATTCACCTTTTTTTTTTTTCAAACATAGCATTAGTGGGCTAACTTGTTAGGCCATCTCCAACCGAAGGGTCCAGAGGATCAGAGGGCCGAAAATAGCCCTAAAATCGTCTCCAACCGAGAGCTAGGCCAGAGGGCTCAGGAATCTGGGAGGGCCCCACAGAATTTCAAAGGGCCAAAGGACTGGCTGCTTTCGGTCAGCCAGCCAGCCCCAGGCTGGCTATTTTTTTTTTATAGTTTTGTTATTCCTGTCGGTTATAATCGACAGGATTTATTAAGAAAAAAATCAAATGAAATGGCTACTAGCCGTTGAATTTGATTTGATTTGATTTTTTTTTTTTACATTATTATTATTATTTGTTTCATTTAAAATTTGTTTGATTTGATTTGTTTGATATTTTTTTAAATTCCATTTTTTTATTTGATTTGTTTGATTTGATTTGTTTCATATTTTTTTAAATTCCATTTTTTTCCTATAACTTCTATTTCAAAAAATTTGTTTCATATTTTTTTTTAAATTCCATTTTTTTCTATAACTTCTATTTCACAAAATTTGTTTCATATTTTTTTTAAATTCTATTTTTTTTCCTATAACTTCCTAAGCCATTATACGACATTAAATTAAATTAAGTAACATGGAACAACATTAAACAATATGAAACAACATTAAATAACATTAACCAACATAAAAATTAAATTAAATTAAGTCACTTAGCCGTTGGATTTGAATTTAAGTTGTAGTTTTTAAATAATAAATTATGTTTGGCCCTATGGCCCT